TACTCAGGGCGGTATAACAAGGCACATAAATAAAAAAAAACAAAGATTATTTGTAAATCATAACGAATGAACAGAACAGTTGTGTTAATCCTTTAAACCCTAAGAGTGACTAATATCTGATTTCTCCCGACGGTATCACCCCTGAATTATTTTTAATTATTATTATTATTAATTTATTATTAATTATTAAGGCCACGAAAATATAGAAAATGATAAGGAACTAAAAAAGCTCTTGATTGTTAAACAAATTCTCCTTGTCAGCACCTTAGGAAGTGTGTGGGGAACAGTATGGAGAATATGCAAACTGATGTTAGGGTGGAAAGGGTTTTTTTTCTTATTTCTCTCAAAGAAACTGTCTCTCCTAATTAATAGTTGAGAGCTAAAAAAAGACTGAAGCCGGTTGTGAACAAGTTTCCTTTATTATATAAAAAGTCACACCGTGTGACACTTTAAGAGTATGATACAATAGAAAGCGCGTAAAAAAAAAAAAATCATAAGAAATTAAAAATTAATCGTAAACAGACCCAAGGCTTGTACTAGGAACTTAATCCACAGGATACAACGCAACCCGGGGAATAGTGTGGGCTGTTTTATGAACAATTACCCGAGGGGTAGTAATTTAGTCCAGCGTCCAGCATTGTTTTTATCCATCCCTCGTACAACCGGAGCCAGTGACTGTATTTGCTCTCCCTGATAAAACAAGAGTTTTCCGCGTAAGCGAGATTTACTCAGTATTTGGGTTCCCTACGAGCATTCTGTGAGATTTGAAGAATCGGTCTGATTCGATAAAGTGATCAACACTCAACAAAAACAAAGTTGAAGAAATGACTCTGTGCTAGACCAAGAGAGCTGTGTGAAAATGGGTGAACTGTGACCATTATAACTTTTCAAATTGTTTGTTCAAATTTTGAATTTTAACTGGTGTATAACCAACCGATATTCTTTAGGGTCGAAAAGATTTCGTTAAGCAAGCTGAGAAAGCCAAACCAGACGCAAGCACCGCCGAAATCCAGCCAGCTGCCACCGAGGAACCTGAAAATATTTACGAGACTATAGAGGATGTGAAACCAGGGACCGACTTGGGAGAAGGTCAAATGAAGAGACCTCGAAAGAGAAATGCAGGGGTAAGATAAAAAGAAAAATTAAAATCTGCCCTATTATTATCTAAGAGTTCAGATCAATGGTTTGCTCTCATGAAGGGTAACGCTCGAGACGTCAGCTTTGAAACTCTTTACGGTGCAAAATTTATATAATCAACGCAGTTGATAAAACAAAATTATCTTTTTATACTCACCCACCGACGCAGCACTATAGTCTCTTAAGAAACTTACCACCTTTATTCGTATATTTGTGTTTAGGATTTACGTAATCTTTAATCGACTAAAACAAGCTGACCCAACGGTATTGTTATGACTTGATTTCTATGGTTAATTCTGCGACGTAAGGAGCCCCGTTTCGTTTTTAAATACAAAATCATTTTACTCTCTCGTTAGAACAAACAGCCCGAGAAGATCACAGTTTCCACTTTGAAAAACCTCAACATCTACAAGGAAGGAGGTCAATATGTCATCGAGGCCTGAACCAATCAGAAACCATATCTTTTGGAAAGCTGTCAGGCGCACGTAATCATTCAAAGGTTCAGTCACATCACAGTAGAACTGCTGGCCGTCAAATAGCTGCAATGTGGACACTTAACGCATTTTCCTCTTCGTAGAAATGTTATCTCGAATAATTAGATTCTAGAGAGAGTCATGACCACTATAACAGCTTAAATTTTTGTAGAACAAATAGCATTTAAACTTGTTACATAAATCTACTCACAGAGTAATAACCGAGTTACCAGTCAGCGGACACCCATTAGAACTCTAATACTGAAACAAACGATCCCATCATTTCAAGAGAAAAGACACCTTGGTGAAATTATATCAAGCAAATCTTTCCACCATACAGTTGAAATGGAGAATAGTGATTCAAGTGGACGTCCCTAATCACTGTGTTTTTTCCTGCGGTTGACACCCATTCGAAGGCCAACCATATCTTGCATACGTCTGTTTCCTGTTATCGTCTCAAATTTCAGTACTTCAACTATAATCTGCCAATAATGCAAAAGTAACAGAAGCTATGATTAAGAGGGCCGAGATTTGAATCTTTTTATCCTTTTTCTTGCTTTCCTCTTACCGAAGCTCTCTCTAAGGAAATGAAAGAAGCGTTCACTTATAGTTGTCGCTATCTGGAAAGCTCTGACCACGTCTTAGCCTCCTCCGCAGGCAACTTTATGGGCTTCGTGTATCTCACAGGCGCGAAGCGCGAGAGGATTGGACCGAGCGCTCGCCTCAGTCTCCTTCGCACTTCGCACTCGATCCAGTCCTCTCGCCCTTCGCTCTCGGTGAGACCAGTGAGACAGGAAGAGAAAGTTTGCCTGCGGAGGAGGCTAACCACGTCTCGCTTCTAGTACTTTTAGTTTGTCGATCATGCGAGCCGCTGACCAGTAACTCGGTAATTTTCGCTGACAAATTGGTCAATTGATTTTATGATCAGTCTGCATAAGTTTGCATAGTCAGAGCACAAAGGCGAGAAAGAGAAAAATACCGATTCTCCAAGCGCAAAATACAAGGCCTGGATCAAATATTTACTTTTCCCTTCTCAGTCTCTTCTTTTTGCCGGCCTTGGTTTTACAAATTGGTTGTTGCATTCAACCCGGTTGTTGATCAGGAGGCTTGCTATTGATAAGCTTTTGTTGCAAAATTGATAAATAAAAATTATAATAACCCAAAACAAAAGAAGAGTAAAAGAACCGTCCTTTAAAAGTCTTTTATGTTATAACATCGAGAACACTAGTTCATGCCACTGTAAAACCAACATGCCTTCCATGAAAGAAGCAAAGCTTACTCGAAAGGGAAACGACAGCATGATATGGTAAATATTTCGTCGTTCTGTCTCCGTTACATGAAATCAACCCGTCTTGAATTCTCTTTGTCAGCCATGGCCATAAATAATAGACTTGAATGTTTCGGAAAACTGTGAGATCGAAAGCCGTCGATAAGCAATCGAGTGTCTGTTTCCGGATCCAGTAGGCCACCC